TAAATATTTATATTTTTTTATTTTTCTTAGATTCATCTTAAAGAACTACTTCTCAACTTGGCTAGACACATTTAAAATATTTGAAATATTCAACAATATTTTAAAAAATTGTAAATTTAGAGAATAGTTTAGTCGACACTATTTGATTTGAAATGTTCGACCTAATTATGCGAAATAACGTGTTGGAATTTTATATTATTAATTTCCAAACAAACATTAACAATAATTACCTCATTTTAAAACTAACTTCTTGTGTTTTATCGGTAAATGATGGATATTGTCAAGAACGTTTTTTTTTTGTCTACTCCTACCTCACTTTTTAGATTATATGGGTTTTTCCCTGGGACAGGGGAGAGGGTAGGGGATTAATGCTAGAGTTAAAAGCCCCACGGCACAGACTCGTAATTATTATGTCATATAAACTTAAGTTTATCAGGTTGACGGGCACCCTGACAGTTAAGAGCCTGTTTTTGAAAATAGGAAAACTTATTTTTGCTTCGAATTTAATCCACTTCACAAGCGATTATTTTATTTTAACGAGAGAGTAACGATTGGTCCTATTTATAAGACCCATTCAAAAGGCTTCAAAGGCAAAGGAACCCCAAGGTTCGATGCCGACACTATCATTCGCTTATTATACACCTCTCTCCACCATTCACTATCCAAACGCAGTCCCTTCAGATCGGCTTTAATACAATCTTCCCACCTTCGCTTCGGTCTACCCCTCGGACGTTCACCCTTCTAGGAGTTCTTTCTTTACTAAGCCCAACAATTTTATAAGCTCATTTGATTCGCCGCGATGTAATCATCTCAATTATATTATATGGCGTTGTGTAACCGTCTAGACTCTCTGATTAACTCATCCTTCTTCGGTCCGAATATTCTACGCAATACTTTATTTTCAAAAACCTTATGACGTTTCTCATTCCTTAATGTAAGTGGCCACGTTTCGCATCCATAAAGAACTGTAGGTAAGAGAATGGTTTTATAGATATTAGTTTTTCAGTTCCGGGACCAGAGGCGCGGACTAAGTAGTTTTGTCACAGAAAAATAACAAGCATTTCCCGCCTTCAGGCAAAATGGTTATTTAAGAGTTTTTAGTACCTAATTGAATAAACAAAGTTTATTTGTACAAAGTTTGCCGAACTCCAAACTGAAAACGTCCAATTCAGAGTATTTTCGTAAATTAGATATTTGTAGGTTAAGATGAGATGAAGCTATTTACGAAGTTTCAGTCGGATGTTAATAATTTGATAAAATATGGTCTGTACCATTTACTATAAAGCTTTTACATAATTAATTCCCCTTTTCATTGGACGCCATTTTTGGTAGATTAGTCCAAATTTATTTCTGAGGATGGACATAACAACTAGAACTAAAAAAAATAGCGATGATTCCTATATATCGTTCTCATTTTTATTTAGCATGCCGGAAATCTTAGCTCATTTATGCAGATTAATATCCTTAATCAAATAATTCTAAAATCTCTCATGTTGATAGCGTTTGCCATTAAAACATCTACCTAAGCTTTATATATTGACAATATTTATCTAAGATTTATATTCTGATAATATTTTTGTTTTGGATTTTTCCCGAGATTTTCTCTTGTCATTGGCGCAATTCTGTTACGTGTCATTTTTTTTATTTTTTATTTGGATATTTTTCTTATACTGTCTGTATCTTCTGTTTTGTTCTTTCTATATTTACTATCATTCTAATGACAATATAGTCCCGTGTATTCTTGGATTTCACTTTATTACTCTATACTCCATAATTTACAAATTTCATATTGATTTTTATTAACATGCGATTCAATGGTACTCTTTGTAAAATTTGTCTACAAACTGTAGAAAATTCATCGAGTCATCGCTCGATACAGCGGCATCACTTGGAATTCGGTTGATGAATGACTATAATTCTTGCCTCACTTGGAGTAAATAATAGCATTAAACCCTGGTTTGCTAAGTAAGGATTTTTCAAGTCATATAAAATCGAAATGTCTCAGGTACAGATATTGGTGACGGAACTAATTTTGGTAAGAGCCGATTAATACGATATGAAATTTGGGGATTTACTCGTATTTGATGAATATTTTAGTCATACACCGTTATATAGTCTGACAGTTCAATTTTTTTTATAGATAATGATGCCACAGCTTGGGGCGTCAAATGTCTAAGATTTTGTATTGCTAACCTTAGTCTTTTTTGTTTTGTTTTTTTACCTTGTTCCTTAATTGAAAGTTCTCTTCAATTGAAACTTCACAAATATTTAATTCTCTTCGCCTCAAAAATCTATACCTACATAAATATCTACTCGAAAATATAATCTTCTTCTGGTCGTCCTTGGAGTCAGATATGAAAAAGAGACAGAGATGGCCGAGCGAAGAGGTGCCCATCCCCCCCAAGGTCGATGGCTCAAGAACCTCTCTGCCCTTCCCAAGATATTTTATTGCTCAGCTTTTCTTAAAAACAGAGCAAGCTAAGGTAGAATTAGAAAAATCTGGGATCATTTAAAATTACACTTGCTGCAGTCTGTTCCATGTTTTCATTTTGTCTCTTAGTATGAAACTTTTCATTCTGAAAATAACTTCATAACTTCGCTGAAATGTGCCCCCTCAAAAATTCAATAACCTACCAAAATACACCCCTTAAAAACTTCGATGGCGCATCTTGTGCCATCAAACCCCCTTCTTAGTACTCCTGACCCAGCGTGTTATTTGAATCACTATTTCAGCTTGAAGCACTATTAAATAGGGAAATATTGTGTAGTTTGGATAAGAGCATTGTATGATCAACAAACTTTAAAAAAATTTCTTTTCAGAAGTTTAGATAAATTTCATAGGATGGTAATTTTTTCAGATTTTAGGAAAAGTTGTTTCAAAGGGAAGAATTACGTACATGTAAAATTACTGAAAATATGCCAACTTTAACCTCATTGTTGTATGTTTTACTTTTATTATAAGAGCAAGTCACCAAGGTTGCATACATATATACAAATAAATTGATAATATAAGAATAGTTCATAATAAACACATAACGGAATAACAAAAGGATAGGTCCCGCACAGACAAAGATATGAATGATACATACATATCAGGGCTAGGCATAAATTTTATAATTATAGTTTCTGTTCACAAATGATACTTCTATCAGGGTGTTTCAGGGTTAATTGGCCAAACTGAAAATATGAATTAAGGAGCTCAAAACAAGAAAAAAAAAATCTATGAATGTATGTCCGCAAAAGCTTTGTTTAGGAAATTTTCATTGTTATGAATATTATGAATAGAATGAATATTTATGTTATATTAAAGAAATAAAACTTATTTATTTGTTCCAACTACTTTATTAATTAAATGTAAACATTAATATTGTAATATGGTCGCACTCCTTTCTTCATTTCATAAAGGGGCAAACATGCCATCAGAACGTGGTATTGTAGCAAATGTACCAGTTTCTCCAAGATGTTGAAATGTGGAGCTAAACATAGACTTGCTTGGTAATCTTCCATTCGAAAATCGCCTGGCAGGCTTAGCATTACTATTGCTAAAACCGTATACAAACACCATATCAAGATATTCACCATTAGTATAAATGGAAGGCATAATGATGAGTACTCTGCGAAAGCCTCTAACAAACAGATAAATGTTATTGACACTTCTTAGCACATAGTTTGTAAACTGTGCACATTCTGAGCAACCTTCTTAGCGGATGGCATCAGCAATGTTTATCCCAGTTCTTTAGCTCTGAGCCTAGGTAGCTAATAGAAGACTGACATCAGTATATACAAGTTTTGGCCTCTAGAAAACTATTACTCAGATCCTCAAATAGTATCTCAAAACCTACAATCTCACCTCTCCTTGATTGAGCAGTGGTGCAACAACTGGTGCATCAAAATCAATGAAGCAAAATGCAAACATATTACTTTCACACTGTGACGCAGATCCTGTCCCACAATCCTTTTAAATTCAATACCACTTCCCTACTCAGACACAGTCCGTTACCTTGGCTTCCTTCTAGACAAAAGACTAACTTGGAACCCACATGCGAGACTTAAAAGACAAGAACTTAACCAACGATATGGCCAGCTATATAGACTACTAAGCAGGACATCTCATCTTTCGATTGAAAATAAACTTTTAATCTTCAAGACAATACTGAAACCTATCTGGACCTACGGACTTGAACTGTGGGGAACTGCTAAACATTCGAATATCAAACGCATCAAATCCTTCCAGTCCAAAGTACTTAGAACAATAGTCAATGCCCCATATTATGTCACAAACAAGACCCTACACCATGACCTTAACATCCCATTTGTCCTCGACATTATCCCATCCAGATTCTCAAACTTTCACCAGAACCTTATCCATCATCCAAATCCTCTAGCTCAATCCCTATCCAGCTCCCACCATACCTGCAATCCCCCTCGAAGGTTAAAACGGCATTGGCCGCGAGATCTATTGTAAATATGCTTCTGGAGTCCTGGCATTGGGCAGCTTCTCCACTCAAGTCCTGAGCATCTATGGCTCTAGTGCCTTCCTTCAGCCTCCACTGGCTTTTAATACTTGTGATGCGGCTGGAAAAGTGGCACTGGAATCTCTGGAGTCCTGCTTTGCCTTCCACATGTGGGGAGAAAAGCCTGGCTTGGAGATTCCTGGGCGAATGTATATATTGTATATAGGTATGAATGTGTTTAGAAGTTTTTATTTTATTTTGTTTGTTTATTTATTTATTTTTTTTCCTATTGATTTACATTTTTTTATAAGTATTGTTTATTTACTTTTTATATTTATAGTTACTTCTTTATTACTTGTATATATTGTATGAATGAGAACTTCTAGCCTTAATACTTATAGCCCTCCAACAGTGGCTGATTGTATTATTATTCAATAAAATATAATAAAAAAGAAAAAAAGAAAACTATTAAATTTAATATTTTTTTTATTTAAATAAAATATCGTCTAAATATTTTCTAAATTGAGTTTTTTTTTTTTTTAACAGTCCTATTACAACAGAGAATACAAAGAAATGGAAGACCGGCTTAGTGAAATGGACCACGGTTGTCCTCCACATGGCGTTGGCCTGGAGCTGCCTCTACTTGGTCCTCCACGGCGAAGTACTCTTCGGCGGAGGACTCTTCCAGCTCCTTGTGCTGCTCGTGTGTGCGGAGGTCGGGGGTGAGTTGTGCAAGCTTGTCATGCTGCCGCCTCTTCTGGGGATGCTGCTGGCTGGAATACTTCTCAAGACTTGCGGCTTCTTCCAGTTTTATGGCGTATACCCTGATCTCATAGTTATTTCTAGGTGAGACACAATATAATGTGGTATACCCTGATCTTATAATTATTTCTAGGTAAGACGCGATATAATGGGGTTATACCCTGATCTTATAATTATTTCTAGGTAAGACACAACATAAAAAGAATTAATAATGGTGGAGAAATAGTTGACTTTAGACTACAATATTGGGAAATTAATTGGCCATTCCAATCCCAGTGAGAAACAAAAATAAAAAGTTTAAATTTATTTTGTACCAATATTTCACTCTTAATTTCACTCAAAATCTCTAAAATTCATCAGGGCTGAGGAAAGACAAAATAAAAACCAAACATGAGAAATTTCTTTTCATAATACATTTTAAAATTAACATTTTTTCCATGTGATTGTTATATTTATATATATTTTCTTCTCCATCCTTCTGTTAAAAGAAGTTTACTGGCCAAGTTTTATCATGGTTTGAAAAAATTATTTACTATAATTATATAAATATTATAAGGTATATACTATAATTGCATTTAGAATATAATGTAATAAAAAAATAAACTTTATTCTGGCACAAAGTCCTCCCAGAATGACAATAATGAACAAACAATAAAAAATACATATCTGGCCAAAAACTAACTTAATAAAAATTCTAACAATAAATACAATAATTTAAATAATAATATGTAAACTAAAAAATATATATATTCTCAAGAATAATTATAATTGTAATTAAGAATTCTTTCATTTTTAAATTTTTCCTTCTGGATTTGCTTGCTCTCTTCTCCAAAAGTCCATCTCTACAGCTAACAGTATTTTCTGGTATCTTGTGTTGATGACCAATGTCCCGAAGAACAATCAACTCCCACTTATCAGAAGTATTGGTAACCTTTCTGAACATATAATTGATGTCTTCTCAATCCTGAGCTATGATTAATTGATCATCAGCAAACATTAGAGTCATGATGCATAAATTTTTCCCAATTCTTATTTCTATTTTTCCACATTTTCATTTCCACTTTCTGAGAGCAGCATCTAGATAAATTTTGAAAATTAACATCAACATAAATTATTTTATAGTTCTGAATCTTTTTAGCCCCGTTAATGATCTGCATATTTGGATCAGAAAATAGTTTCCCCTATCTGAAGGTGAATGCCACCTTACCATATTTTCCAAAATAAAATTTATTTTATTATTTATTTATTATTTTAACATTTTAAGCCATTTGCACCTGCGCTGCAGCGCACCTAGCAAATTTGATGAATTAGGCATTGACTGCGAGTTTGTTTGATTAACATATTTAGTTATTGTCGTAGGAGTAGGCCCCCTTGGGTATTTTCTTTTTAGTCTAAAATTTAATGCTAATTAGATTCCCCTTGATATTTTTATATATTTAAGAAACACATTGTTTTTAAACAAATAATTTTTAGTTAATCTAATTAATTGTCTTTTTTATGATGAAAAACAGGAGTCTTGCATTGTCAGTGATACTGATAAAGGCAGGTCTAGGATTGAACCCAGCTGTTCTCAAAAGGTTGAAGTTCACCGTACTCAGGTTAGCTGTCGTTCCTTGTGTATGTGAGGCCTTCGCAGCCGCTATTGCAGCTAAATACTTCAACCAGATCCCTTGGATATGGGCTTTTCTTATTGGGTATGCTTATTTACAAATTTATTATTTTATTGATATGCGACAATTGCAATTGTTTAAAATAAAAAATAATATTTTTTCACTATTATTTGCCTATAGGTCAATCTTAAATAAATAATCACACTTAGTTTTTAAATATTATTTTATTATTACGGGAATCTCTATCTCCCTCTTCAGTATATAAAAATTATACAAATAAGTCATTTTAGGCTCTATCATGAATCAGTCATATTTAATTTTAGAACATTAAAAAAAAAAAATGTTGTCGAACAATATAAGCTATTTCATATTCATTTATTAAAGTGATAATGATGTAGAGATGGTTGACCGTTGATATAACATGAGAAGGAGTTAATCGGGGAGGTGCGCTCAAATAAATACTAAATTAAAAGATATTAATTATTTAATTTTTGCCGACGTTTCGACCCACTTTTCAGGTCATCTCCAGGGCTACAAAAGATAGAAAACATAATGAAAATAAAATAAATGAATATAAGTAGATATAAAATAAGAAGAAGTTGTCAGATACAGAAATAAAAAGATGATATCAGAGATATAGTATATCTGATATCAGAGATATAGATATAGAGATTTATTTTTTGTTGTCCTTTGTCCGCCCAATCGGAGTGGAAAGTCTGTGCGTATGCTTGTGACACCCAATTTTGGGGCATATTATGTGAGTATATTATCACTTTAATATGAGAAGGAGTTAATCGGGGAGTGCGGTCAAATAAATACTAAATTAAAAGATAGTAATTATTTAATTTTTGTGGACGTTTCGACCCACTTTGCAGGTCGTCTCCATGGCTACAAAAGATACAAAACATAATGAAAATAAAATAAATGAATATAAGTAGATATAACAGGCATACGCACAGACTTTCCATTCCGATTGGGCGGACAAAGGACAAAAAAAATGCAATAGTTCTTATCATGTGCAAACATTCAACATAATTATTGTGAAATGAGAAAATATAATATTGAAGATTTAAAAATAAATTTATATATTTATTTTATTATTGGATATTCTTGAAAATGACTGAGCCAAACAATGGAATTTATTAAAATTTGTATACATTAAGGAAGGAGGACAGCCTTCGTAACATACCTACATTTCTAGAGCTTTTCCTGCTAAAAATAAATAATGTTAAAAACTGAAAAATATTTTTGATTTCTTAGTTTAGAAAACTTAAAATAAAAACACAATGTTTTTACATTCAACTAGTTATGTAAAAAATTCTATAAAAATATTCTCTATAAAATATATCTATTCTTATACTCCTTAAATATATTTTTCTAACTTCATCGTAGAAAATTTTTAACAAAATTATGTGGAAATGGAGGTGTCCACATGAAAGGTGGATGAATCATAAAATCCTAGAATATGTTTCTATATTATTATTCCTGAATATGAATGAAAATTTAAAAAATAGGAATATTTAAGTTGTGATATAATTGTTATGTATATACTTATAGGCCTTAACCTACCCAGATAATCAAATTTTCTTGATCAATTTTAGTTTATATATTGTATTTGTTTATGTATCTTATTAGTAATCAATTTTAATTTTTTTTTTACTTTTTGGAGGGGCAAAACCATATTCTCGCTCCCTCAACATTTTTATTGGGGGAGGGGAGATGATCGCCTCCCTTGCCCTTCCCATAGTCTGCGCTTATAATCACAAGTTAAGTTGACTAAACTCACTATTAACTGCGGACTTACCCAATTACCCTAATATAGTAAAGCACCTGGAATCTTAGACGCTTCAAACACATGTTCTGTAAGCTGTATACACTTGGAGCAGCTCTTGTAGCGAAGGCATTTGCAACAGTTTTCCTAGTACCCTTAGCAACAAGATAATAGAACACTTACATCATTATGAACCAGTGTTCATATCAGTTGCTGAACTTATTAAAGTGCTACATTTTTGTACATTAAATATTTTAGTTATTTTATGTAAACATAAAGATGAGATATTGTTTTTAAATTTACTTTACGCCAACGAACTTTTGGGTTAGCTAAGCCTTTTATTATTGTTACTTAAGAAAATATTTTTTTTTACTTTTAGACTGTGTGAAAGAAGTAATTTTCCCACAATATTGACGAAAAACATTACTAAAATACATGTTGCACATATGAAGAAATTTATAGATTGAGAATACTTTGACTTTCTAATAATTTTTTTACTGTATTCTTATATTTAATTTTATTCTTTTGAATAAAAAGACCATTGATAAAATATTAATTTTGGATGTATTAAAATTATAATAAATATTCTAAGTACATATCAAATTAATTTTAAAACTGAATGTTATTCAATATTTCCTAATTTGTGATAATTTAAGATCCTCAATTGGGGTAATTAATCAAACAATCAATATAAAAACATCATTATATTTTTTTCTACATAGCAAATTAAATATTTCTGTTCAATTTAATACTTCTATAGGTTTATTCTATGTCCAATATCTCCAGCTGTGGTTATCCCAAGCTTGTTAAGCTTGAAAGAAAAAGGATACGGAGAAGATAAAGGAATCGCAACGCTAGTCATCGCTGCAGCTTCTATCGATGACATTCTGTCCATTTCAATCTTCGGAGTCATCATGAGTTCAATATTCAGGCCAGAGAGTAAGTTTTCATGATTTATATTTTAAATTTCAAAACTTGTCGTAAACCAACAACTTTCTGTCCTACAGTTTTCTTTAACAATACTCCACTTATCTCTGTTGAGCAAATCCGATACCTAGGACTCCACCTGGACAAACGACTTACTTGAAATCCTCATACTAGACTGAAACGAAAAGAAACCGCTCGACGTTTCCGATTACTTCAGCACTTACTAGACAAACGTTCTAATCTTCCAATTAATTATAAAAGACTCATATACTTGACTATAATAAGGCCTATTTGGACTTACGGAGTTGAGCTATGGGGCTCCACTAAACCATCGAATTCCTCTCGTATCCAATCCTTACAATCCAAAATCCTTCGTAAAATCCTCAATGCTCCCTACTTTGTTACAAATAAAACCATCCATAATGACCTTAATGTTCCTTTTGTTTCAGATCTGGCCCAATCCAGATACCTATCCTTCCATAATAAACTTCAGAATCATCCCAACCCTCTCGTTTCTAACCTTGCTTCCTCTTCAATTCCTGATAACCCTCCGAGGCGTCTGAAAAGAAGATGACCCCGTGATCTCCTAATGTATGCATATCATTAGAGTGCTACCAATGGGTAGTTACTCAGCAAGTGTTTTTCATGTCATTATATACATTATGTTCTAATTTACTAGATGTATTTATTTAATACAGTTGTAAATGTCTTTAAGAAATAAAAAAAAAATTCAAAACCACCATTTGTTTTCTACAATATTTTAAGGTGCATCTAGACATTTCACAAACTATAGGAAACACTTATCCAACTTAACTGATAACAATATTAGCATTAACCAGAGGAAGTTACAGAGGTGGGGTCACCGATTTCAATGAAACTTTTTGTTTGTGATACTAGGTTGAAAAATATTAGACCCATGTCTGTGGGATCTTGCCAATTAACTCGAGAAACTGAGAATAAAAGATTTTAAACAAAATTTATGTTATTCACTTTTGGTTTTGCTTTGTATGGATTTTTTATATAAATTATTATATACCAATCAATTTCTTCTTTTGTGCACTATAAGAAAAAAAATATTGAATATTGTATTAAATAAGTTATAAAGTATCTTAATTTACAAAAATCAAAAAATGCTTCCAGTAAAGTAGGTCAAGTAAATTTTTGTTTTAAAAAAGAAAAATAGATTCAGTTTTAGTTTTCTTTGGAACCTTAAAATACAAATTTTTATAGAAATCAAAAATTTCTGTGGTGTGAGATTTTTGCCGTTAATTTTTTGGTGGTAAGGGGTCTTGGGAAACATAATTTATGAGGAGGCCAGAATAGGAAGGTTTAGTCGGCAAACTCAATAAACTTAATTTTTTTACTGTATATCCTGACCATTTTTCATCCTTAAAATTTCAACAATGAGCTATATACCCATCTCTAAAATGATTATTACTAGGCCCAATTACTAGTTCCAATCTCCATTTTACAAATCATACAACTGTCCATTTAATTATATTACTCGTTGCTGAAATTTTATAACTATAATTTACATGTATTCTGTAATTCATATTGCATTATTTTTTATCAACATTAAACATAAACTATACGAAACTACAATTGGGACAAATTTTTAATTTCTTTAAAAATCTGTATTATACATCACGTCTTATTACCAATTTGTAACCATAATATATATCCAGTTTGTCCAGCTTCATATAAGCCCAACATCAATTTGTGTCTTTTATTTCTAATATTTTCGTTGTGCATTATATAGTGCTTCCTTTTCTATTTCATAATAAACAAAATTATATCACAATACAATATAAATATTATCTATAATATAATAATTAATATATTGTATTCAAGGGGAAAATGTCTACATCAAAAAATAACTGCCGTCACCTAGGTAACATCAAACTACCACCTCCAGATGAATTCCATTTTCTGTACAAATTTTTGGTTTAAAATCTTTATTTTTTTATCAGGAGAGTAGCTCACTATTGTAATGAAGATACCAGGGTGTAAATCTCTATTTCGCATTAGGTTAGCAGGAGATTACAGGACATCAACACATATGTAATTAAATGAAGAGCTATATAATTAGTGTTAATTATAGAGATAATAAGAAAGCTCCTGTAATATCCTGCTCTCCTAATACTAAAATAAAATATGAAAGTCACTAAAAACTTTTTTATGTAATAGAGAGATGTTTTATTTTAAAACAATACTAATTAATTTATTTTTTTAATTTTTTTTTTTTATTGAAAAATATTACAATCTGTCTCAAGGACATTTATAATAGTGTTCACAGATCACATTCTCACTCAATGTACAATAAATAAAATAAATTACTAAACAATTAGAGAAGAAAAAAAATTGTTACAAATACTAAACAAATACTAAATAATACTAAAATAAAATAAAATATGAAAGTGACTCACAACTTTTTTATATAATAGAGAGATGTTTTATTTTAAAACTATACTAAACATTTAGAGAAAAAAAAAATGTTGTGAAAAGATGTAAGAAATATGAAATATATTAAATTAATTGCAAAATCATATGATTGGTAAGTTTAATTTTTAACTAGAAATAAGAAAAATATTAAATATAAAAGAGTGAAAATTGAAAACACTAGCCTTTTTTTCAATTATAAAGAAATACATAAAACTAATCACAATGTAATATTACTGATATTTCAGAAAAGTAAAATAAATGAACATTTTTGTGTCCATTTAACTTAATCATCTCAATTATATTAACAGGATTCGGTTCATGCAATTCAGCAGAACTTTTTTATACAATATTTAATTTATTTCTATATTTCCCATGTTGACATTTCCAATAGGAGTCTCAATATTTTATAATTAATATTAATTTTTCAAACACAGGTAGTCTTACAATGTCAATATTGCAAGGCCCATTGGAGCTAATTGGGGGATTGGCAGGAGGTTGTGTTTGGGGCTTGATCTGCGGATATCTAGGTATATACGATGTAAGTACAGACTTGAACAATTCATAAATTTTAATTATGTTAATTTTAAAATTGTCATAATCTAAAAATATAAATATAATTTAATATTAATTAATACTAAAACTGGCTTTTATGAATTCTGTGTAAAAATGCACTGAGGACCATAGGCGTAGACTTTTCATTCTGGTTAGAGGGGCGATGGACCCTCCTCCCTCCCAAAAAAGGACTCGGAAGTTTATGTTATGTATAAAAAATTATGAGTGACAATTAACATAATTAGCATAATTATTGTAAAATGAACATCGTAATACTATATATATAAATATAAATTTACATATATGGCTGTGTAGTTTGGAATTTTTCCAATAATAACTTTACCTTTATGTTTATTTATTTATTTTTTTTTATGGGTATATTTGAAAATATGTTAACAAAGCGATTGAATATAGTACTTATTTTTATTTTTATTTAAAGGATTGGACAGTGAGATGAACTCTAAATTCTCTGATGCTTCAAATTTGCTTAGAAAAATGTGATAAAATCTTAATGTAAAAATAGAAGATTGCACATGAATGAATTATGATATCCTAGGATATGTTGCTACATATAATTATATTATTATCTTTCAATATAAACTAAAATTTCAATAATAGGAATATAGGGTGTGGTAAAATACTTGCATATCTACTTTTAGCCCTTTGTTTAGCCATCTAATTGGATTTCCTATTTTTTAATTAATTTTCATTAACTTATTTATCCATTCATGTAAATTTAATGTTTCGATTTAATCGAAGGCGATTGACCCCTCACCTCCCTCACCCCTGCCCAACCTTCGATTATAACATGTCACAACAAAAAGTTCTCTATATTTAGGTGTGCCACAAACTCCTTTCATTCTATTCTCTACTGATTCCATCTATGCTTGTACTTTTGTCATAGAATTGCATGCTAATGAAAATATTTCAAGCATTATCTATGGGTTGATGAAACATATGATAATTATCTTTAATAACTTTAACTATGATAATATTGTAACATCTCTCTCTTATATTTTACAAATAATAATATGACCTCATGGAAGCTCAATTTATACTGTTGGGATACTTCCAAAATAAATAAGAGGTTATTAAATAATAAACAAAATTATAAGAGTATTAATATATTTATTGATCTCAGGTGTGAGTTACTGAGAATCAGATCAAAACACTCAGAAAAACTAAAATTAACTATACTAAACACTGTTTGATTTTAAAATAAATATGGATTGGCAAGCTAACCTTTTTTTCTAAGTAGATTGTTTTCTTCTTTTGTGTCACTTCTCTTTTCTTTTTTTGTGTAATTCCAAACAACTAACCTCTCTGCCAAACAACAACTTCCAAGGTGGTAATACTATTATTGGGTTTATCCCACTGGAGCCAGGATCACTTCTCCTATCCTCTCTTCACTGCAGTCACACAACACTTGGATTAGCTTGCCTTTCAACTGTTGAACATTAATTTATTAAACCCTGTTTACCCACTTCCAATAAAGGTGTACATTACAATATATTTAAATATTAACTAGCCATATTTTAGGAGGAATTCAATTATTTACTTAGGTGTGATGCCCACAGTACCAGATTTTTTTATTGTTCACTTATTTAATCTCCTAGTCTTCTAGTACATAAGAGTGTGAGGATCCCTTTGGTAGAGTTTGATCCAGGAACCTCTGCCACCAACTATCCGTCACCTTCCCTATTCCAATCTTCTTCTACCAAAGGCTTCCTGGATTGTTCCATCCCATGTCTTCGTCTCTGTCCTTTCACCTTTGTTTCATATATAATCCTCGCCAAGTCGACATGAACATTTCACTACGCTTCAATACTTGAACAGTGGTAAGTAAGTTAATCGATACATGACAAATTGGGATTTGAAGATTTTAATACGGACACCAAGACCTAGTTAGTTTTTTGGAAACTACTGGACCCTGCATTTTAAAGCTCAAATTGTGCCATTTTTTAGATAATTCTAGATAAAGGGTTTGCAGCCACCCTTACTGCTATCATGGCATACATATCTCAAGTCATTGAATAGGTTCCCTAGGAACAAAAGAGGAGGAGTTAATCTTTATATTATTTCTCAAAAGTGTTTTTATATTATCTTATATCATATCTTTATTAACTCTTTATCAAATCCAATTATTGAGCAATGATTTTATTGAGCAAGGAAAAGAAACTTTATTTGAGAATAACTATAAAAGTATACATTTTAAGGTTGATTGCAACCAAGATTATTTGAAAGGTTACTGAATTCCCTAAAAAATCAAAAAGAAAAATCGAAATCGGACCATTATTAGCAAAGATGCAGCTTATTTGAATTTGTAAACATAAAACTTGAGTAAATTTTTAAAATACTTTTCTTTTTCTTGATTGAATACAATTACCGAGAAAATAGGAATTAATTTCTCTATCTTATGATACATACATGTGTGGCGCGACATCCCGTTACCGAGACTGGGCCTCCTCCAAGAGCCTCCACCAGTTGGCTGTCTTCTGCTGCAGCTCTCCAGTTCTGTACGCCAAGCAGGGTTCTCGCATCATAGGCCACATTGTCCAACCATCTCGTCCTCGGCCTTCCTACCCGACTTGTGAGGTGCAGCTCCTCCATCATTATTTTCTTGGGTATTTCAACGGTGCTCATTCTGGCCATATGCCCTGCCCACCTTAGTCTGGCCAGTTTAATATATGTGACTACGTCGATGTCTGTATAAAGAGAACTGAGCTCCCTGTTTTTTATTTTCCTCCAGACATCACCCTCCTTTACTGGACCATAGATCCTTCTGAGGACTCCTCATTCGAACACACACAGCTTCATCTCATCACTTTACGTCATCGTCCAAGCCTCTGAGTCATATGTTAAAACAGGCCGTACAAGGGTCTTGTATATGATTAGCTTGGTCTTCTTTGGTCAATTCCAAAGGCACATCTATTGGCAGCCGTGATCCTTCTCTGTATTTCTTGAGCCATGTCATTCTTGCTATTTATTTCAGACCCAAGGTATATAAAGCTTTTTACTCTCTCAAACTTAAAAGAACCTACCTCTCAAATGGAGAGTTCAGATCCACCTCACCACCAATTCTCATATACTTTGTTTTCTTCTCATTGACTTCTAGACCAAGTCGTCTTGTAGCTGCTTCAAGGGCTATAAACGCTTCTCTGAGAGCCCGTTCAGACATTCCTATTATGTCAATATCATCAGCAAAACCAAGAAGCTGCGTCAGGCGATTGAAGATTATATCGCTGGTCTGAATACTGGAATTTCTTACAGCTTTCTCCTCTGCCAAGTTGAATAATAGACAGGCGAGGGCATCCCCTTGCCGAACCCTACCGCTCACTTTAAACTCTTCGGAGTCATCAGAACAGATGCAAATTCTACATTTCGAGCTATTGATGGTCATCATATGATACATTGCATTATTTAACTTCTTTATTATGTGTCATTAGTTAACTAACCAATATACTATGCAAATTATTCACATGGGCCAACTAATTATACTCAATTGAAGTTAATAGAATTATATAATTTATAAATATAAATTTAAAAATATAAATATAAATATAAATTGTGTATTTTTTTTTTAGGCAGAATGGGATCAAACTTCACTGTTAGGACTCGGTGGCTTCATAGCAGTCGTCGGAAGCCACGAGTTTGGTTTCTCTGGGGCCGGACCTCTTGCTGCAATAACTTCGGCCTTTGTAGCTAACTACGTTTGGACCAAACATGGAACTGTTTCTGTTGAAAAAGTAATAATTATACTTAAATAAAAGTATTATTATTAATAAAAGTATAATAAATATTGTTTGATTAACTACTTTTATTTATTAAAATTTTTAAACAACAGAAAATCTAACTCTAATTTTACATTTAGAACAAAGTAGCGGAAAACTTTGGTAAATTGTGGACTATCGTCCAGCCAGCTCTATTTGGATTGATCGGACCAGAAGTTGACTTCAGTGTAATAGACGTTTCACTCCTTGGTCAAAGTGCTGCTATATTTTTGCTAAGCCTTGTTGTAAGTATTAAATGCATTGTAATATTAAATAATTTTCGCTTTGCTCAATATCCTGGTTTATTTATTTCAAATTTATATTTTAAGTAATTTATCTTCCGATGGACCAATCCCTCACCAATTCGGATAAATACAAAGAGTGTAACATCTTGCATATGGATGCTTCAAAAGTAGACAAGAAAGTAGGATGCTCGGTTCTAAATTCTAATATTCGAAAGTTATTTCAACTCCTGAAAGCTGGCTCAGTTTTTACTGGTGAAATAGTGACGATAAGAGAAGCTCTTAAATACATAGAGACAATATAACGTACTATGAATTCTCACATGCCTACTTACTAAGAGGACTAGGCTGACCAATTAGCGAGAAAATTGTGGAAGGTTCAGAGAAAAGTCCAACTCATCATTCAAGACTGCTTTATATTTAAAACAGTTCGAAAAAAAAATTGATATGGCACAAAGCCTAAAAGAAAACTTGAGCGGCAGCAAAATAGTGGTGAAAAAAAAAATTAAATTTTTAAAAATAATAAAATTCTACTTGGTGTAAACTTTGGAAAATCCTATGTAGAAAGAAAAAACGAATTACATTAAATTTAAGACTAAAATTGTTACATTCACTGTTAAGACGACATTCCAAATCAAAAGCAAGACAGAAACTAAATATTTACATATATCTATTAAAACCTCTTTGGACTTACGGACTAAAAATATACAGAATTGCAAAACCAACACACATAAAAAAACTTCAAACTTTTCAGTCTAAGATCCTACGACTAATCACTCAAGCACCATGGTACGTGAACACTGGCTTACACGTTCTGACTGTCAATGAACACTTACCAACTTACTACAAAAGATTTCAAAATATGTTAAATGGACACTCCAACCAGCTGGTAAAAGAAATGGACAGAACCAGTATGTCCGAGAACTCCAGAAAACAACTAAAAAGGATCTGGTTGAGGGATCTATTGAAATAATGTTTTAGTAAATAAAAGCCATGGGAGAGGCACAGCTGGGTATTGCTATTCCTCATGCCTATCAAGCCCTTTTATTTTATTTTTTATTTATTTTTTTTTTTCTCATGACTATGCCAGCACATCTGCTAATTGTCGGTAGTTGTAATTGACAGGTGCGGATAAATAAATGAAAGTGCAAAAAAATAAATAAAACACTATAACAGAGTGTAAACAAAAGGTGTTGCCAATGACACTGCATGGTAGAGAAAACAAAATAAATAAATTTACATTTTGAAATATGTAATGTTAATTTTTGTTTTAAATATTCTGTAAACCGCAGCTATATTAAAATAAACATTACATGTACAGTAGGAAACCTTCCATTAACATTAAATGTTGCTCTTATCACTTTCTCCATTAGTGGGAGTCTATTAAGCTGTTTCAAGCCAGATTGAACTATGAAGTCTTCAGATACAACTGGTATCAGGACATAACATTCAGAACAATTTATTTATATTTGTAACTTATAAAAAGATGAAAAATAAAAATTGATATACAAGGTTTAGAAAAAAAATATGTAATTATGTTGTTTGTTTGGGTTTATTAAGGGCGTAAAACAGTTAGGCTATCAACGTCCATTGGATTATTTTGATTTACTTGATATTTATTGGTTATCCACCAGTCCGAGCCTAACAGAGCACCACCAATGAGAGGCACACCCAGACCCAAAAGGGCGAGCTAGGAACTAGATTTGTAGATGTCGGGAAAATGAGGATTTATCAGAGGTTGTGGATAAAAACTATGTGGGCTATCTCAACTACATTAATACATTCCACTAATGTTTACACTTATTTAAACATGGAAAACTCCAAATCTTATGTAATTATGTATAACTTCAGTCTCAAGTTGTAATATTAATTAATCAACATTCTATTTTATTTATTATTCAATTACAATATCATTTTTTGTTTTATGTGATTATGTTTTTCTTTTAGATTCGGATGGCAACTTGTGTATTGTGCTTATTAAAAATTGGTCTTCAATGGAAAGAAATGTTGTTTGTGAGCATTGCTTGGATACCAAAGGCTACAATACAGGCTGCGTTAGCTCCTCAGCCTCTCGACCACTTCCGTGGAGATCCCGATCACCCTGACCTGCGCATAGCAAAACTGCTTTTTGCCACTGCGGTGCTTGCTATTCTTGTGTCAGCACCAATTGGCTCTATAGCCATATCTCTTACGGGACCAAAACTACTCAATAAACCCAACAAACCTAATAAACTGATTGTTAATGAAGCTGAAAACAATGATAACCATGATAGTTAATATCATAATAACAATAAAAAACCCATGACAGTTAATTTCATAATAACAATGAAAGCCATGATAGATAATGACTATTTATAAAAGATTTGAATTTAACAATAAACTTGGAATTCAGGATATCATTTGAATAATCCAACCACATCGACTTGTGCTTGCATTTAGACCAGAGTTTCCACCATTTTTTTTTTTTAATTTTCCTTTTTATCAGTCAGATTTTTCCGTTAGAAGGAATTTAAAAATCCCTTCTTTCCAATAATATACAAAATAATATATAATAATGTTTAAAAAAATTAAACAGTGCCTGATAGTACAAGCGATTTTATAAAACTAACATAGACTCAATTCTTTTCAAAGAGGTACTAATCATTAGAAAAAAAATTACATGAAGAAAAAATATAGAAAAGGAAAAGAAGACGAATATAATTAATTATAAATTAAGAAAAAAAAATATTGGTTTAAATCTTGAATTGAAAGATTACAGAATAAAAATATTGAATTAACATTAACCAGTATGGCATAAAGATTAAAATGAACGAAACAAATTAAAATGCTGATAAAAAGGGTTATTCCAGATACACAAGAACAACCAACATGTTAAATACTTTGAATCCTCAGACAGTTAAACCATTCATATACTCCTAGACTGAGAACTTCACCAACTCGACAAATATTTCCTTAAATCCGATAATTAAAACAATGGAAATTACAATAAGCAAAGTTTAAAAAGATACAAATACAGATGTACAAAACATATTTTACAGGAATTAAAGCTGACCAAAATAATGTTGAATAAGATATTCATAGAATACTTATTTTAGTTTAGTTGAGATTAATTAACATATGTAACATATACTACTATATTTTTATTGAAATGTATATAGTTTTTATTTTATTTTTATATTAATTTTTATTTAAATTATTATTATATCTTTTTTATGTTTTTAATAAACAAAAGAATGGCATTTAATACATGATCCAATAATAATACTAAAATTCAATAATGTTAGTTTTATCTTTGGTGTGAAATGTTCTACACCAAAACATATATGATTATTATGCACATATTTGTAAATTGTCATTTGAATAAAATTATTATTAATTCTTTTTTTTTTATAACATTTAAAATAAAAAAATAATAATTTTTTTTTTTTAAGAGTTTTGTAAAACCTGTTATATCTTATAAAAAGTATTTTATATCAATTTAAAATAACTTGTGTTTAATCAGATTACTGCTTTTATTTTTTCCATCCGTGGTAACTTCCATAATTCAGGTCGATGCCCCCAAAATAGCAAAATAGAAAAATAATATTTTTTTCATTGGTCAATATTTGTCTGTTTTATGGGTGATCACTTAATACTAAAACAATCACAATATTTCCTCTTTTTAAATTATAATGCATATTCAGCTACCTAAGTGTATAAAAGTGTATCATTAATTTTTTTCATCATTATTGTTCCTGTAATTACCTTTTTTTTTTTAAATTAAATTTTTAACCCAGCAAAATTAAATCCTGTATTATTTTCAACTGAAACAAATATCTTGAGTAAGGTGAATCCAAAGCTATCGGAAGCCATACAATATGTACAGAAAACATACATATCTTGATCAAAGATTGTAACGGATTCAATGGTGATATTAATGGAAAACATCCTCGATAATTATTAGATATCAAGAATATTTTATGGTAAATTCAGTCAAACAATCAAAGGGTCATAGCTAGTCAGAAAACATTGATTCTAAAGCCAAAAAGATCGATCTTATTATATATTAGTTACTTATTTGCAGAGATTGCTCTGTGATAATGCCAACAAAACACACACTATTGGACTGTAATGAATAAAAAATCACTAGAACCTTTATGGACCAATCAGGAACCTCAACGAGCTCCAAGAAGAGAGTGAAAATAATATCGAAAAAATTATGAATTTTTAGAAAATTATTGATCTCTATCAAAACATATAAGGAGAAACAAAGAGCAAGACGCTAATGACTCTTTAGGGTAGAGGTGAAAATGAACTAAATAAATAAAATATCTTGAGTGATGTTTAGCAGAGCCAATCGGATGAAAGAAAAACCAATCGGAAAGAATCAAGGATGACATCTTTCTCAAGAAAGGAGGTAAGTTGAGAATGAACAATTCTTTCCAGAGGTTCAACAGATTTGAAAGATTGGAAACCGGTCTAGAGACAGAGGCTTAGGAAGTATAATGTAAATATTAAATAGACGAATATATTTCTCCATTCCACATAGTTGGAGATTTGGAGGAAGAAATATATATTGAATACTTGATGGTTGACTGTTATATATTTTTTAGGAAGAAGATAGTCCGGGGTGGCAGTCATAAAAAGACTAAAATAGTAAAATACTATTTTATTTCAAGCCAAAGTTTTGACCCGATTTTGCAGTTCTTTTTCAGGGCAAGAGCGAACCAGATACAAAAGGTTATAGAAAAATGTGGAAGTTACATGATACTTGGATAAAAATTATGAAAAATGTGAATAAACTTATTAAAATTATAAACATGTGTGATAAGCAGTCAGAACGTAATCATTCCAAAGGTTTTATTGTTGCAGACATTTCAACCCAAACATGTGGGTCATCATCAGGTTTCGAGCACTGAATGTATTCAAGTTCTGACTCAGTAGTCATTACCTATACATTAATCAGTACTTGAATACCTTCAGTGCTCGAAACACGTCCTAATGATAATCCACATGTTTGGGTTGAAACGTGGGCATCAATAAAAACCTTTAAAATGACTACCTCCTAACTATTTATCACCCATGATATATAAGAAATATAATTGGAGTGCTACCAATGGGTAGTTTCTCTACATGTAGTATATGTCATGTTACTTGCTTCATATTTACTTGTTGTATTTATCATTTAATACAGTTTTAAATTTCAATAATAAAACAAACATTTGTTTTGAAAAAGTATTTGCCTTTACTTTAACGAAAGCGTCTTTTAGCTTTTGTAATTTAGTGATACATTAAATAATACAGACAATATTTCTTTCTTATTCTGCACAAAAAAATAATTAATTGGTATATAATAACCTAAAAATCCAAGGAAAGTAAACATTAAAAAAAATCGGGTGCGGTGCGTTCATCACACAACTTCCACTGACCACCCTGTTAGCAGAAATAAGTATTTTCATGCAAAGTGAAAGAGAAAGTAAAAATTATATACCCTATATTTATTTATATTTCAATGTGGATATTTTTATGTGTAGAGTCCGTATTATATTGAGCTCATGTTATGAATAGAAGCGTGTTTAATTAAATCTTTCGGACGAGCTGGCATGGGCTCGTATTCCTGTGGTTCCTCAATTATAACCATTCTTCGTTACGATCTCTTATTTCTCCTTTAGTTAAAAATCAAATTCTTGCATATTTTATATTTAACTATTTTTTATATCAAAGATTAAGGTGAAATAGTTAATTATTTTAAATAAAAAAAATAAAGGTACTTTAGAGGAAGCCAATATTGAAAATTAGCCATTTAAGCCCTGATAGAGAACATCAATGAAAATAAAACCTACATTATATTAAAAACTGCTTAATAATATACTGATATACTGAGTTTTATCAAAATCGTTAGAGCCGTTTTTGAAAAAATCGTAGAAATGTGTTAAATCGACGAAAATGTTGCTGTAACATCGAAGACTTATATAAACCTTAAATATGCAATTTCACTTTCATACGACTTTTAGTTTTTGAGCTAGCCTGAAAACATACATACACACACACACTGAGGCTATTTTGCGGGACTTTGTTATTTGGACTGAGGGTACCTCAAAACCTGTTTTTCGGTTGAAAACTCTGACTCGAAAATTTTCACGATCGGAATAATTACCCTTACTATATATTCCATATATAGGTAAGTGAAAGTAAAAAAATTGTCGGCTCTTAAGACCCATAGAAACGGACGGCCGGATATGTGTTTAACATTATTTGATAATGTTCACAAAAAAAATCCATTGATTGTGACAACTTGTTAGTTAAACTAAATTTATAATATAAAACTGTTTGTGTCTCTTACAGTGTTTGTGAATCCAGGAATATGATCGAAATTCATAAAAACATACTTCAAAATTTAGTTTCATCAGAAATATACTTTGTAGCTTTTCATTATATACCGACAAAATTCTATATATATATTTTTCTTGGTATATTGTATTTCTGACCCATAGTGGGTGGACAATGCGTCATCTAAGGGTATAAAGATTTTGGCCCCATTGTATAATGTCAGGAACGAACATTTTAATGTTTTGTCGTCCCAGACTTGTTGATGTGAAAATTAAACCAATTTTAAATTAATATTTAAAATAAATATTAAGTGATTTTGGATCATATTGACTGATTTTATATCATTGTAAAAAAAAAGTATCAGATATTATTAGTAATGGAATAATTGAAAGAAAGAATCTATTGATAACAAAACTACAATATAACGGCCATGAATTGAACACTACTAAGACCGTATCGTTTATTAAACGTTTGGTCAACACACTTCATAACTAGTAATGCGATATCTCGTCATAATTGACAAAACATTAACTCTTCACAATAATTTTTTTATATTTATTAGTGCAATAGAGATGAATTAATTCAAGTAAAAAAGTATTAAAACAAAAAAAAAATATATAAATAGTTTACCAAAAACAGTCAGTCAGTATTCTTTGCTTTTAATGTTTAATATTTCGAACGATGAATTTATTTGAAAAAATTGAAAGTGTATATAAATTATTAGTCCGTGACGACCTCTTTTTATCAAATTACTAACATCCGCCCGAACCTTCGTAAATAGCTTCATCTCATCGTAAACTAAAACTATTTTATTTACGAAAACTCTTGGAAATGGAATGTTTTCAATAGTGTTGCCCAAAATCGGTCTTGGTCTTGCAAAGTGCGAGACCAAGACCAATGCCGCCTAACTGTTGCAAGATTGTTAAAAAAATTCGATTTTTTGAATAAAAATTAAGGCAAAATAGTTACTAATACTTGACAATCAATAGTTACTATATGTAAATAATTGGTATCACTAATATAATTTTGTAATGATGTAGAGATGGTTGACCGTTGATATGATATGAGAAGGAGTTAGTTGAGGGTGCGGTCAAATAATTAAAAAAATTAAAATATATAAATAATTTTAATTTAAACGTCGGCAAAAATTAAAATTATTTATATATTTTAATTTTTTTAATTATTTGACCGCACCCTCAACTAACTCCTTCTCATAATATAATTTTGCATTTAACTCCTCTATTTTTTTCATTCGGGCTTAGTTAGGTTTTTCTATCTAAAAAATTATAGTAATATCTCTATAGTAATAAGCTAATAAGTAACTGCAAGACTATTGCGTAAGACCAAGACTGAGTTTGCAAGACCAAGACTCGTCTCGGTCTTGCATTTGGAAAACACTAGTTTTCAATCTGGAGGTCGGCAAAGTTTGTCTATTTAATTACGTATTAAAAACTCGTAAATACGCATTTGCTTTCCATTTCAATCGTAAGATAATTTGAGCACAAAATCGAGAAAAAATGTGGCATTAAAAAACGTTGGGCCGTTTGGCCTATGTAATCTCGTTATTTTCACATGTTGGTCGTAGGTCACGCTAACCGGCTCTATATTTTTGAAGGCCACATTTTTTTTCTATTTTATGCTCAATTTATCTTAAGATTCAAGTTGAAAGCAAATGTGTATCTACGAATTTTTAATAAGTAATTAAATAGACAAACTTTGCTGATCTTCAGATTGAAAACTCCCCAATTCCAAGAGTTATCATAAATTAAACAGTTGTTGGAACAAGGATCTACGGGGGAGGGGGTTTCGGGTTGAAGCACCCTCCTACAAAAAAAATGGTAAAATATAACCACGTTTTATCAACAAAAAAAAATCTCTAAAAGTATTATTGTTCGTCTAATTACATTTAATATGACTTAAACACCATTTTATATAGATAGTTAGTTTCTTTTTTTCTTTCGAAGTAATTATCCTAAAATATAAATACAAAAAAAAATCTTTCTAGCTGAAGGCCCCCCAAAATTAAATCCTGAATCCGTTAGTGGCTTTAGGTTACGATGAGACTATTTACGAAGTTTTAGGTGGATGTTAATAATTTTATAAAAAGGGGTCTGTA